ATGCAGGCTACAGGGTAACTTAATTATTTGCATGGTAGTACATATTCTCAAATCTATGTACAGTTATGGAGTCAGTTATAATGACATGTTTCAAGCATTACCAAGTTTGATATAGTTCAGCTCGTTTATACTTTTTTATTGAAAATGAGCTTGCTTTCTCATTGAGGGCGAACTGAGCCTAAAACTATACTGATGCCGTTTCCCATGTGGTTCCAAAAACAGGCTGTGGTATTTTACTAGAATTAATGTTATTCTGCAATTATCTGAAAAACTTCTTGTTAGATTGGTAAGGCATCGTGTACGCAATAAACACAATTTCTTCCTGCAATACACGGGCGTCTTCTGGCATATTTTCGCTTTCCTTTCTGCCCGGAGTTCACGTCTTTCTATTCGCCCGTGGTGACGTAACCCCCCGCGTATCCTCAAGAAAGTTTCTCGGACAATCGTAAGGGACGATTTCAAACGCATCACAAGGACTAAGAACTAGGGTAAGTACACTTGACAGCTTTTAAATAGATAGTATTTATAAAGCACGTGCTAAAGATTTTATTACTGTACACTAATGACTCCCTAAAATGGCGGCTATTATAAAGCGGAAGTCAAATATTAAAATGTACGAGTACAGCGATTTTTTTGGACCTTTAGGCAGTAGTTAAAAATACAGCATGTGAGTTTAGTTTTGTAAATAATCGGATTGGTTACGCTATAAACAAGACTTGGACGTGCAGGTGTACATAGATTTTAGTTTAAGGGATATTGTCATACGCAATCATATGGTGTCATGTTTGAAGATTACACCTAGGTTAAGTAAAATCTTATTCGTATCTTATTAATAATCGTTTATAATAGATACTAGTCTTATTTGACAAACAACACATACGGTGTTTTACACTGGCATGACTTCATTAGACAAATTGTTTAAGTAATCAAGGTAATTGTTGAAGAAAGCAAGTGAGCCCTTACATGGACTCTTATTGTCAGTAACGTCAACCGGATGTTTTCAGTAGCTGCACGTCAGACCTGCATAGCAGTTAGTTTATATTTTAGATCATTCCTGTCACGACCCAAGGCTGTCAAGAATAACAATTCACTGCAAGTAATACTGTGTATGATTGCTATGTGACAAATAAAATTTGAATTTGACATGCAGGATGAATGACTGGAGGGCAGGTGTTTAGTTGGCAACCTAAAAGGGGTATATTGAATGCAAACAAACAAGGACTGTACAATAACACGATCACAAGCGATCAAAATGAGAGGGCGGGCACAGGAGGAGTGGTGTTAATGACTGGACAGGGGAGCACAGGACTGGGAAGCACATATATACAGGACAAACGAGGGAACTAACGAGAGGCAACTGGGAGTGATTAACACGAGGGTTAGGAATGAGAGGTAAGGCAAACAAGTAACAGGCGTGGCTTGGTAGGGTAATGCTAGGGAGGATACAGGAGGGACAAATAGATATAGCAGGCAGGATGTGACAATTCCCCTATATGACATAGCATTGCAGTTGGATTTCGGTCAGAATTCTGATTTGGTCACTTTGAAATATGGAGTTTCTTCTCTCTCAGACATTTTATTTCTTCCAGATCAGTGTTTCCCAACCCGGTCCTTGGGGACCTACACACACTCAGAAAATGGTTAAAATTTGTACCTTTGCTTGTTCCTGGGGCTGTATCCTTGTAACTCTACCTTTAAGGTACAGAAATTGACTCTGAGGAACATCTTAAAGGTGCAAACAAGATAATGTACCATAACCGGTATAGAAATGTTCCTCAAAGCCCATTTCTATACCTTAAAAGGTACAATTACCTACAGCTAAGGGTACAATTGGCAGACCCTTGAGGGTACAGCCCCTTTTTCTCGGATATTCCATGTTTTTGCTCCCTCCCAGCGTGCAAAAACTTGGACTGTCTGTGGGTACCCAAGGACCGGATTGGGAAACACTGTTGTAGATCATTATCATGTTGCATGTTCCCACTTCTTTTAAGTTCAAGATCACAGACAGACGCCATGATATTATGCTGTAAAATCTCCAGGTACAACATGGATTTCATTGGACCCCAGGGTAGCAAAACAGCCCCACACCATGCTTAGGATCAGGCTTTGATGTCAGTTTGTAATATATAGTTTTCACCAAACATAACACTGTGTATATTTGCCAAAAATATACAGTGTCCCCAGCATATTGCTCTAGTACTGTTATGGAACATTCAGGTCATCTTAACCTAGGCTGAGATGGGTAGAACAGTGGTTTCCTCTGTGATAACCTCCCATAAACACTCTTCTTTTCTTACGGTAGACTCACATACACAGATGTTATCAAGTGCAAAAGATGCCTGCAGATACAACAACAAACAAATTTATTTTTGTATAGCGTGTTATCACAACATTACATTGTCCCAAAGCGCTTTACAGCATCCCCACCCAAAGCCCCCAGTGAGTAAGCCATAGGCGACAGTGGCAAGGAAAAACTCCCGAGAAGGAAGAAACCTTGGGAGGGAATCTGCTTAGCTGCTGCCGTAGGGTTCTTTGTCACTTTGAAGATCCTACAGCCTGCTGTTGCACCGATCTTTGTAAGACACCCACTACTAGGAAAAAAACGGTGGTGCTGAATTTCTTCCATTCGTAACCTGTCTGACTGTGGACCAATGGAGAATGAAGTCGTTAAAAATCCTTTCCAGTTTCATGAGATTCAGCTGCTCTTCATTTCAGGTCTTCTGGAACCTTGCTTGACCTCTTGATTGTATATAAATTGCGTAGGTTTTCTTCTTTATGGAATACCTGACTTCAGAGGACATTATCCTAGAGGTTCATACTTTTTCCATCCATGACCTTGATTGTTTAAAACCATTTGTTCAGTAAAGCCATGGTAATGTAAAATGTTGCTTTTATTGTTTGATAAATTGCACTGTCTATTGTTTTGACTTGGATGAAGATGAGATCACAATGTTGGAGATTTCCAGATAATTCCTACACTAACATTTTCTCATATGTATATGAGTTTGTTCAATCAGCAGATGATGCTATTAGTACTCTTTTAACAAAAATATTACATAGATAATTTAAGCGAACTTCATGATGGTTTTACGCTAAATTTAGTAGCAAAGGCATTTATAAACAATTCTAGAGATGCTAAATATGGCTACAGGCATTAGCTCAGTAAAATTTGTCAGTCAAATGGATAACTAAGCTCCACTGAACACAGAGCTCATCAATCCAGGCATTCAGACGCTGCCAGGGATAAGCCTGTAAGAGGTTTGTCCGCTGATGATGTCAGGCCTCCTGCAGTGAAAAGGCGCGTGTGTAGGGGTTTAAAATGACACGGGCCTGTATAAAAGCAGAAGTAGGATGCCGCTTTTCCGGGCCAGAAGAATGCAGGAAGACTAACTGGGCATGGATGACTCAGAGGTCTGTGGCCTGTATGAGTCAGTGTGTGTGTCCATATTCCTTTCACTGCAGGCTTTTTCAAATAAGCTGTTTGGGCCTCTTGAGGACCCAGACACTGGCTCCATTCTATGAGAATCTCAGGCGTTTCTCTGCAAAATTGTCTCAGCAGTTCTTTTTTTACTCATTCTGTTTCTCTAAGACCCCAAGGATAGCTACTTCCACTTACCAAGCTATGCGGCCACGTCAGTTTCTCTCACTAGTTATTTTCTTTTTGATTAAGTTTAGCATGCACAAACCTGCTTTAGGTTCTTTGCTTGCAGGTGAATGCATTACTAATATAGGATTTAATTTTCATTGCATGACAACAGATGCATTCAAGTGCTTCATCAAATATATCCTGAGTTGAGTTTGAATTTTAGGATTTTGCTTTTTTGGTTGTTGAGTCACATCCAGTCTTTCTCATATCAAAATATTGTCAGCATAAATTCTGCATTTGCACGATATATTTAATTGCCATGGGTCACTTGAGGTGAAGTCTTAGGTGCAAGAGTTGCATGCTTTTCTTGCTGCTCACTGCAGCTGCGCAGGCTTACAGAAGACGTGTTCCTATTTGTCGTGCAAAACACTATCAGGTGCCAACCACAGCATAAAAAAGATGATCTTCCGGGAAATAAGAATGAGAAACATACTCTCATGCTCTTCTCATGTGGTTTGACTATGATAAGTTTTAAATACTGATACTTAAAGTGTGATTAAAGACTTTACATGCAACTTTCTAATGTGCTGTGGGTCTTGGTTGTTTAGTTAACAGTTTAGCCAAAGTGACATGTCTGGAGATGCCTTGGGTCCTGTCAGGCTGGGTGTTTATAGTAAATGCTTAATCATGAAGGATAAAGTCATAGAAAGTTGCATTTCAGGAAAGAAGGTGTAAGGATTCATAAGTGGACAGGAGACAATGTTTGTGCTAACTCCACTCAGTCAGAAAGTATCACTGAACTGAAACCACAAGAAGCTGGTAGGCTTGACAGATATTTTGTTTGCCATTGTGCACAGTTAAACTCACTGTAGTCCATATATTTACTAGATATTTTTTTTTTTATAAAACTCATATTGACAATTTAAAGTCAACTAGAGACGTAAATGTGGTTCAGTTTGACCTGTCCAGAAAACCTACAGTGTTCATAGATGCATTCAATACTGTGCAAAAGTCTTAGTCAAAGAAAATGATCTTCATGTTGGTGTAAAACTATGATGTTATGTCTGTTAAAGTGTGTCAGCTTAGCCGTTTCAAAACTCCTGCTAAAACCGCACCATAATTTGTAGCAGCCATCCAATATATCCAGTGTTTTTTGACTTGACCACTAGCACAGCTTGTGTAGATAATTAACATCTCATTGACTGTTCTTAACTTATTGAATGAATGGAATACATAAATACATGGAATGGCTGGGGTCTCCCTGAGGAGGGGTTTGGGAACTGAAGCCATCCAACAAGATATAAGTACCTTTGCGAAGAACAGAAGAAATTTTTAGCAGTTTTTATTGTTACTCTTAATTTGCATATGTTCTAATGTTATTCGTGTGTTTTTAAGCAAATGTGCACTTGCTACTTAGATAAATAGGTTTAATATTTCTTTTACTACCTAAGACTTGTGCACAGTACTGTACATAAGAAAGGAGTGCAAGGCAAAGCTTGTCTCAGTCAGCCCTGAAGCAGGGAGGGAGGGGCTGCTGGGAAATGGAGGTAGCCTTCCTGTAAATCGCCTCCAGCCAATGAGAACGCCAGCTCATACCCAGCTTAGCTGGCCGAGTGCCAGCCGGATCAGCAGACACAGAAACGAGGACCGTAGCGGGGAAAAGAGAGAAGCTGAGTTAGGCAGGGGGAAGAGGAGACTCTCTACTGAGGAAGCAGGAGCAACGCTTATGAAGATGCTTCTGTAAAAGTAGGTTTGTGATCCGTAATGGTGGTGGTGTAGTTTTTGTGAGAGAGAGCAAAGCTGATTTGCAGTTGATGCAGTACAAAGTAGGAAGCAAATAAGCTTGTGAACAAGCAGCGAGCTGGTGCACGCGAATAGAATGGAGAGATAGGTGTGTTTAGCTTAGCTTTTTCTTCTCCTGGAAATCTGAGGGAAAATGCAAGCTGCACTGTGTAACTGAGAAAATGCCCTTTTCTTATGCATTTCCATGGTTGTTTTCATTTTTTTACACCAAGGAAAACAGGGACCAAGTTAAGATAGACGAGCATTTCGTGTATCTACGATGTGGCGGTCCGGTCTGTTCAGCTGAGCAGCATTTGTTTTGGAGTGTTTTCTGTCACCTCTGAAGCGGCGTGGGGCAGATACCCACAGGGCTTTTCCGTCACATAATGTCGACCTCTAGGGGGCCGTTTTAATCGTTTGAGGTCTTGCTGTCACTCCGGAGTCACCGCTTGAGGTTGTGGCACGTTTCTCTTGCTCATGTGACGTTTGGGTACAGCTAGTCTTATTTTGACTGTATGGTGTCTGAAACTAGGTGGAGATAATGGGTTTGGTTACCTGCAAACAGCGGGCAGTCATTTCTGAACTGTAATCGCATGCAATGCCCCCATGCAATCTTTGCTTTTTTTGAAATAGTAATAACAATAATGTACTATTATTATTAATTATTATTATTATTTGAAATGGCAGATTTTAGCAGTTATGTTTGCACCCCTCGCTTTCTCTCACTAGTTGTCCCTGCAAGTTTTGTATTTTTTTTTGTTACCTTCAAGATGTTTAAATTGGTTTCTATGACTTTTTCGCCGGTTTCATACGTTCTGCTACAGGGTGTGCACTCCTCACACTCTCTTGTAGCCCAGTCCAGTCTAAATGCGACTCTCTTCCCCTACATCAGAAGCAATAGCAAGAAATGCTGGTCATAAATAATATGGGTGCCACACTCGGATCTATCGGCGACTTGCAGACGTGCCCAGTGCTCAGCCCCAGACTCTATGACAGGTGGTTTTGAGAAAGAGATCCTTATATACTATTAATGTTTCTCTTTTACAACAAGGCCAGCCTTCTCCAACTTTCTGTTTCTGCTGATGTGTGGTATTAGGTATAATTTAGAGAACAATCTGCCTGGCTTCCAGGTGATTGTGTACTTTGGTGTCAAATGTCTGCCCGTTGTGGTTACGTGCTTCTTACTAAAAAGTATAAGCAAGGCGAGAAGGACATAAAAGCTCGATTGATAACAACTAGCACACATCTTCAAACAGGTGTGTTGCGCTACACTAGATCTCTGAGGGTTTTTTTTTTTTCTACTTTTCAATTACTGTTAGCATCTCACCATGAAGCCTCCTGTGACCACAGGTTCTGCTTGGTCCTTGAAATGGCAGGTGTCCGGTCAGATTTGCCTGTGAATGAGTTTCTTTATTGTGGAGCAGATGGGTGCTCAACTGTCAAAGTTGGTATTGATTTCTTAATGAGAAAATGATACCCACAACATGAACGTATTAGCCGAGCTCTGACTTGGCAGTATAGAATTACGGCTCTTTTCGTCAATGTAGAAAAGCATTATTAGTCATACAGATATGTCAGTTGGCAGTGTGAATGATGATGATGATGATCTCAGTCAAATCCCCGGGAATCGGAGCCCCGCTAAAGCACCCAAGACTTGCTGACAGCTGCAGTTTCACTGAGGTGCACCTCTCTCCACGCCCAGGCCACAGGGAGGAGAAATGGCTGTGCGGAACAGGATCCTCAACTCAACTATGCCTTTCACTGGGGGCCACAAGGAGCACAGTGGCCTGTTTGCAGTGGGTTCCAGCCTAAAGCAGGTGACAGGCAGTGAGGAGAAGAGGTGTGAGGTTGACCAGCAGCCCAGCAAGATTCCTCCCCTGCTGTCTAAAGTGTTAATGCGCGGCACTGCTGATCACATAAGTGCCGGTCAGCTGATCCAGGAGAAATTGTCACTCTTCATCGCTCAGGCAGAATGTAAGTAGCATAATGGAAATGGAGATGTGCCTTCTTATCTCAAATGGGTCTTTTTTGATCAAATTGTTAAATTTGGAAAATTATTCAATGTATTGATGTTCTCCAGGTGAAGGACAACAAGAGTTCAGCCCAAGCTCCTGGGAACGCCCCTATGTTGCCTCTCCAAGCTGTTTCCAGAGCAGGTCTGAGACACCTGCTTCCATATTCCTGTTTCTCATGTTTTCGCTCTACTACCAACGTCATTGTACTCAAACTAGCCTTCTCTCGTCTCTCATTCCTTACGTGGGGTTCCGATGGGCCGAGTCCTGACAAGTCATGTTTTGCAGGGTCTCGGTAGAGCACAACAATGTGGCCTGTAAGGAGAGTGCCACAGAACGGCCAAGCCCTCAGGTCCAGCAGCACTCCAGGAGAAAGACAAAAGACAGAAGACAGCGACGGAGGAAGCAGAATGTGAAGAAGGGGCCGAGGCAGAGGCAGAGGCAGAGGACACCTTCAGGAGTCCCAGAGCAGGAGAGCAGCAGTGCTTTGCAGGTGATCCAGGTGTGGATTAGACTATAGTCCCGATAAAAGCCACATAACAGAGAAACTAAAGTAATGGGGATGTCAAGTGGTCAAGTAGTCAGAGTAACTAAGAGTAACTGACGTATTTCCAGGCAACTATAAGCATGAAGGTCATTGATAAAATAATCTAGGTGAATATAATGAATCTAAAGGTGTTAATATTCTAAGATTTCAACTTCATATGCAATTAGCTGCAAGTTTCATGTCTATTGCAAGTCATCCAGGGCCCATCTGCAAATTCAGCGGCACTAGAGTAATGGGTGTAACTGATGAATGTTCAAGATGAGACAAGAACGCTGGAGCCATTTTCCCTCCATGCTTCAGTTATGGGTCGTTTATGTCTTGCAACAGAAGGAAGAATCGGAGTGTATCAGCAGCAACAGCAGAACCAGCATCATCTACAACGACAGCACCCACACTTTGGGGATACAGGAGACGGCGGAGCTGCAATGGGAGGGACAGATCAAGCCTGTCTACTCTTCCTCAGCTCAAATCCGGGGTCCCTCATCCTCAACCCTGCCTTGGGGCTCTACGAGCCACAGCGCCCTCCCGAACCTGTCCTTCTACGGCCAGGAGTGCAGCTCTGGCTCGGACTCGCCCCTCTGCTGCAGCCTCGCTCTGCGTGGTCTCCGTGGGAGTGTGAGTCAGGAGGACCGCTGCTTTGCCCCTGCCTTTTACCGAGGGGTGGAACGGGAAGCAAAGACTGACAGCGAAGGCGCTACAGCCAATGTCAAGATCAATGAGGGTCTCCTCTTCCACCCCGAAGAGGTGAGAGACTCATAAGACAACTACTGTAGCTATTAACTTTTGTTCAGTCTAGAATAAATCATATTTCTGTATTATTTGATATTATGTAAGGATAACAAACCCATGTGCTACACAGCCTGTGCTCCGTTTTCTGCCGTTTAGAAACTCCAGCCCAACGATTACGAGTACCGTGAGAACAAGGACTATTTGGTGCTGAACCACATTCAAAACGGCTCTTTTGGTGAAGTGTTCCATGTACGGGACTTGAGGACCAGCTTCGAATGCGCCGCCAAAAAGGTAATGTCCGGCCCGGCTCGGCCCCGCCCATGCCGCCCCCGGGCACCCCACTAAGGCAGACTAATGCTGATTTCTTGCAGATACCCCTGGACTGCTTCAGAAGCGAGGAGGTGGGCTCGTGGAGCGCCCTGACCTCCCGGCGGGTCGTCGAGCTTTTCGGGGCTGTCCGCGAGGGTCCCTTTGTGGTCCTTTTCATGGCTCTTAAATCAGGTAAACCTCATTCCTCTGACCAGGTCCTTTGTTAACTGCAAAATCTCAAGGGACGGCTGAAAAACACGTGACTTGCCAAACTGGACCTACGTCTGAGACCTGCTGCTACCCAATGAATTCCATGCAAATGAGTCATACCCATTAAATCAACAAATTGCCTAAAAATAGCACGGACAGCTTCTTTCTTTTAGCGTTAAACAATGGCTGTTTTGTAATGGAAAACGGCAGCTTTGCTCCAATCGCCACTGAACATCGTAAACCAAGGAAGAAAGCTTATGACTCACCCCGACCCAGGTTCTGTGGGAAAGCTGCTGAAGCAGAGAGGGCGCCTCCCGGAGGACCTGGCCCTTCACTACCACTGCCAGCTTATGGAGGCCGTCGAGGACCTACATAGGAAAAGAATCATGCATCTAGACATCAAAGGTAAATCAACATATAAACATACAGAGAGCTGCAAAAATATGAATATAGGTACCATACAAAATTCATATGTAATACATACTTAACCGAAATCTCATAGCTTTTTGTATAACGCAGTTAAATTCTGCTGCTCCAGATGTTTTATGGACAGCCTATTCTTAATGCATTACTATTATTTTTAAATATGCAATAACATTATTAATTATGTTGTATAAGCTCGTGTCTGTCATCAAAATTGGAACACTCTGGAGCTGTTTAAGCTTAGTTCTGGAGAGCTGTGTATGTTTCCTGGTATTAGTCCACAGAAAACATCAGGACCCAAAAATGTTAGGCATCCACTTGTATATTCATGAAATACAGAACAATGGCCTCATGACTCAAACACCACATCATGCTACAAAGTTCAACACTGACGTGGCCACATGCAACATTTGCATCTGCAGCAGACAACATGCTCTTGTCAGAAGATGGGAAGGACACGTACCTCTGTGACTTTGGACACTCTCAGAGGCTGGAGCAAAATGCGAAAACCGCCAGGATCTCTGCAGGTAGCTAGAAACAGCTCAGAACCCAGCGCCAGTTATTAAACGTTCCATAATGAGGAGAAACAAAAACGGGAATCGTAATGTAAGCAAAATTACGTCTGTCTGTGTTAAATTGCTTTTTAGTTTTTTGCTGAATCATTGTAGTAGCCATAAAGCTCGCCATTTTGGCCAGGTGTCTGTCAAGAACGTTATTGGCATTGAAAGAATGATCTGGCAAAATACAAGATAGACAGACTGATTGATAGACTGATTGATTGATTGATTGATGCTAATATTTCTTCATCTAAAAAAATACTACAATGGGTTGGAAAAGTACAGCTACAATTAAACTTATTGGATTTTCCCAGATCCACAGACATTCAAATCCATTCATACCTCAACCATTAAGCCACACCCCCTGATTCCTTGATCTGTGCTTTTTTTAAACGAAAGGGTCAAGGAGTCAAGCTTACGGTTTTTGTTCAATCTTTGGATGCCCGGTGCAGGAGAGGAGTTCCCGGGCACGGAGAGCCACATGGCCCCTGAGGTGGTCAGGGGGGAGGCTGTCGACTTCAAGGCAGACGTGTGGAGCGGCTGCTGCGTGCTCCTGCACATGCTGACTGGCTGCCCGCCATGGACGCGGTACTACAGCCACCCGCTGTGTCTGACGGTGAGCACCGGCAGAATGGCCTGTGCATTCATGCTCGAGAAGGAGGGTCATTGGTGCAGCAACCATCAGCATATCATGTGACTGTATAAATTATTGGGCATACATTACGGGGGATGGGGGGGTTGTAAACCCCCAATAATCAAAACCAGCCAATACAACCCCCTGGACCCCCTTAAACGGGTGGAGACCTCAACCCCCCCTCATTGATCAACTCAAAGTTATGTCCTTGTGTCAGTTAGTAGGTTTGGCAGTGTCTACAAACCCATACTCTTTGTATTTGCTGGAGTGGTCTTCTTTATTCACTACGGGCTGTCTGGCAGGGAGCTTCACCATTGCTTTCCCCAACCTCAGATTGCCAATGAGGCGCCGCCATTAAGAGAAATCCCACATGACTGCAGGCCTGAAACTGCCGATGTAATCAAGGCGGGACTTGTTAAAGATCCAATCAAAAGAGCCTCCGCCAAAGAGTTAAGAGAGAAAACTATGAGAGCCCTGCAAGAAGGTGAGAGCCTGCCCCCATATTCTGTTATACCCCCTTGGGCAATGCTAATCAGCTATAGAATAACTCTACTTTTCTCATTCTCATTAATTTGTTTACCTAACAAGAGTTGTGTGCGAGGTCTTTACTTTGCCTTTAGGTAGACAGACATTCTTCTGTGATGCTCAGAGGTTGATAGTTCAGGTCCAGGTCAGATCCAGACCAAGATTTCGTTTCAACCAACCACTTGAGTACGCTGTGACTGTGACTTTTTGAAACAAAATCTTGGTCTGGATTTTTACTTTCTGGACCTGAACTGTCCACCTCTGGTGATGTTTAAGTCCACCTCAACCCTACTGTGAATTTGTTGGTTATCATTCACAGTGGGTGGACTCACCAGCCCAGTCCATGGAGACTATCGGGAGCCAGAGAAAAGCGAGCTCATGGAGAGCTCTAGGGTGGCATCCAGGTCCATCCCATCCGGCCTGCTCACTTCAGACAAGGCCCCGTTGAAAGAGCACTTTGAGCAGGTGCTGCAACCTCTAAGATCCCGGAGGAAGAAGGTGCATGTGGATGACAGCGTAGAGGAGAAGGACAATGCAGTATTGTCTCCTTCGTCTCCGGAACCTCTCGTCTCGCTGCAGGCCAAGGAATCCGGACACCAGAAGAACAAGCGGCCTGAAACTGTCCTCACGCTGCCTGAGCAGGAGCTGCAGAAGCTGGAGAGAGGTGAGCCTTCATGTCAAGGCACGGCAATGAAGGCTTGGCAAAACGTTTTCGGCAGAGATGGCCAACCTGCTGAAGAACCTTAGCCTTTTATTACAGGCGAGGTTAAGGCCAAAACCATTAACTGGCCTTTTGTTATTCAGTGTATCCCGGAATGCAAAGATTTTAATAACTTGGATGCACATATATATCTATATATGCATTTTCTGTTATAGGCCTTCTACCTTGTAATTTCATAAAAGCATCTAAGACAAGGACTGAGGTTTGATTAAGTGATGACTACATGATGAATATGAATTGAGGACCTATTCCAAAAAGGAACAGTGTAGTTGAAAAGGTAGAGCAGGTGCATTTGGAGAGAACCTGAATTAGGGGCTCCAGCAGTAGACTGTGCTACATGCCTGTGAGACACAGCACTGTGGTCTCTCTCTTTCTGCAGACTTCTACCTGAGCAGTCTGTCCCAGCCACACTCCCCCGAGCTCCAGGAACAGATGCTATCCTGTCTCAGTAGCAGCTTTTCCTCCTATACTGTCCCCGCCCCCGGTGACAAGGTTAGTTCAAATCGGTGCCGGTCAGTTGGTGCCGCTGTTGCTCTACCTTCAAAATTGAACAGCAAATCGCTCGTCTGAAAGTTTAGGGACGTCAGTGTGTGACTTGCTGTGCAACTGAACCTCGTTTAATTTCTTGCCTTGTAGGACTTGGTCAGGTGGTCGGTCAGCAACAGCGACGACCTCAGTTCCGGGGTCTTCTCTTACAACAGCCAATCAGAGGGACAGAGGAGCTTCAGCAAGGACTGGTTGGGGTCCTCCAACTGGCCAACACCACGCTGTTTTGAAGGTAAAGATATTTATGCAACCATAATTCAAAGCTTTGAGAGAGGTTCATACAAAATGCAGAACTAAGTATTACAAATGTAGGGAGCAGTATGTAGGGTTAGCACCTTCAGGATTGGAGATTCAAGTCCTGCATCATGTGTCGCCCCGTTTTAACCTACAGAAACATGCAGTTAGATGAATTGGTGCCTCTACATTGTTATTGTGAGTTTGTGACCTGAAGATGGACTGGGACCAAGATGCGTATGATGTCCCCTGTCTTGTACTCTGTGCTTCATGGGATAGGCTCCAGTCCCACTGTGACCCTGTACTAGATAAGCAGTTATGGGAGATGGATGGATTTATAGAGCTAAATATTTATAGCAGCAGATCTTTTAAGTAGTTACTCTGTAAAGGAGCACTGCCAAGACACATGGATTTTCACACCCTTGCCTTGACTGTTGGATGCAGGGGTGGACGTGTATATCGAAGACCTTGAAGGCCACTGTCTGAAAATCCGTGAGACCCACAAAGTGAAAGTGGGACACATCGCCATAGGGATCAGCGAGCAGGTAGGTGCCTGTCGGACCTGGTTAGCGCGCCTGTCCTGAGGCCGTGAAGTGTCAACTCAGTGCACTATGTACTGCTCTCCCTCAGATCTCAGAGCAGACCTTCAGCTTGGAGACCCAGGACGGGCAGCTGGTTTCGCCCGATGAGGAGGTGCAACATTCGGGCCTCTACCTGTGCTGTACGCGAGCTCCCAACTGCAGCGACAGCTGGACCTGGCGGGTCAGGGAGGGGATGCTGGAAACACGGAACTGAGCCAGCCAGCCCGCCACGCCTCGATGGTCACCATGGCATCGTCCACATTGCTGTTCCTGGTCTGACAAAGATCTTTGAATAGATTTATCTGAACATTGCTGTAAGTCAGTTGTGAAAACATCAGCTTATGTGAACTGTATCCCATTGTAAAAATGTGAAAATAATGTAAACTATCAGGTTCTCTTTTAAGCTCAGCTACCCATCACATTTTAGAGCAAGTGGGCAGGGTAGGGGGTGGGGGTGCTGGGATATTGCAGGGCAGGCAGATAAGAACGGAAGCGGGTGGGGGCACGGAGTCTTATCTCACTGCCGCAGAGCTGACACCACCTAAGGGCTGAGACCCTATATGGTCAAATTTGAACAGAATGGACTTGACTGCCTCCTAGTGGCAGCTCCTGGTTTGACGTTATGACAGAAATCCTTCCCCCTGCTTGTTCCCTGCCTGCCTCTTAACCGAAGATCTCTGATGAAGTTCAAGCAGAAATAAAGCACCTGACCATTTCTGTGAGAATCCAAGCAGAGAATGAAATTAATTCTAATTCTTCATATGGAAAAAACCACTCTATTTTACAGTCGTGTCAAGTCGTATTTTTTTGTAATTAGTTGTAGCCACTATGTATATTACTGCCAATATTTCTTCTTTGTGTCAAAGGAATTTCAGGTACCCATCAAATCAACAAACGGTATTTAAATGATACAGTAAAAATAATCAAACAACGAGATTGTAATGTGTATTCATTTTCATAAGCACATGTACCAGAGTCTGTCACATTAACAGGTTATTGTAACACAATCAGGCACAAACAGCCGCACATACACAGCAACGCGCTTGGAACAGGAAGGTTTGATGAAAGGAGCAGAATGTGTTCTATCCCACGTTGGACTGGTTACAGAGGGATGATCAAAAAACAATACCTCTCAAAACTACCATATTCATTTATTCATAGATTATTCATGTATAATCAAGAATTTGTGCTTCAGTGATAGGAGGAGTTATTTCTGAACAACATCTCTTACAGAGAAAGCAAAAAAGAAACATTTAACATTGAATTTGTCATGCAAGAAGAAATGCTCAGAAATTCTCTAAAAATATTCCTCGAGTTAAGTGGAAATTCCAAAAACAAATATTTTAATATTTATCTTGAAAACCATTTATTATTGGCTAGCATTCTCAACTTCCACATAAAACGAAGTCCAGCTCCTTCATGCCCAGTAACACAAGATGCTTTTATAAAGTTGCACAGACAGAACTGGGCTACAGGCAAAAAGAAACCAAAACATGAGTGAATAGATAACAAAAGTAGTATTTGGCTCGGACAGCAGGCACTAAATATGCATATATCTTAATATAGTAGCAGGACACAGTATCTTACACCCCATTATAAAGTGATGCGTTAAGGACGGCCACTAAATCAAAGCTAAGAGCAAGGGGGAAAATATTGTCTATCATCTTTGTTGGGATTGAAGAGTATCATGCCATAAACTGGAGACCCTAACAAACGATGACTTCCGAACAGTTCAATTGAACTGAATTTTAAAATATCCATCCAAGCATTTTCTGTACCTACTTGTTCTAGGGTAAAATGCTTGTTACCCAACTAGGTCACTTCTACTGGTAGATCATGGACTTGGACAGTCCTCCAGGAAGACAGCCAGCTTGCGCTGGCCAAGGGGGTTGTAGGTGATGGCATCAATCTCACCACCTCCGTTGATGGCCTTCTGGAAGTGGATCTCCAAGTGGTCCTGCAGGTCTTCCTGCTCCATGACGGTGGGGATGCCAGACAGCAGCACAGTGCGTATCGATTTGGAGACGCGCGTCTGGAGACGTTCAGCGCAGGTATGGGAGGAGGGACATGAAGATAGAGGGAGGTCAGATACGGGGCTCAAGATGCAGCCAGTGTAGCTTCTATACAGTTACACAATCATCTCTGAAGATAAAAAAATTATTGATGCACCAGGGGTGAAATTTCTGTTGTCCAACAGCAATAGATAAATAATTCTGAGCACAACATCCATCCATCCATCCGTTCATCTTCTGTACTCATTTGTCCTATGCGGGGTCAAAACCCATTCTGGAAGCATCACAATACCCCCAAGTGGTAAAATTTTATATATTTACTTTTTAAATACACTGGCAAACAATAATTTACTCTATGCTGGTCATGCAGGCAGATGAGTGAGATGATGAGTGAGATGATGAGTGAGATGATGAGTGAGATGATGAGTGAGATGATGAGTGAGATGATGATTGAGCCTCCTGACCTTCAAGGCTGTGATCTCCCCGTTCATAAAAGGGTTTACATGCACTCTTTGCTTCCTCCCAGTTCCAAAATCCACGTCGTGGGAAAGACGGTCAGTCAAAGCCTTAGCAACTGAAAAAAGATCAATCCAAATGAGCCATGGGGCTCACAGAGCAGTACTGGTTGAAAATTTAAAGGATTAACTTGAAATTTAAAAAAAATGTTCAGGAAGAACAGGGGTGATCAGACTCTAGTCCATGAATTTTGCGGAACACATTTAAAATTCTAAAATAATATTAGGACATTTAGTAACATCTGTTGAACATTCTGCTTAGATCTATTTGTTCTAGTCATGAGCATCAAAGTAAATAATAAAATGTAAATATTCTAGCAAAGACTAGTGATCACGCGCCTTTCTCCAGTAATCTGTGCGAGAGAAGGCTCCGCTAACGGAGCTAGCACCAACCAGAGTCCTGCACGAACGTGATGACGACATTGCTGGAGTCTTGCAGGAACTCGACAGCCTCCACTTCCCCACCTCCGTTGCGACTCTTGGAGAAGTGAATTTCCAGCTTGTCCAGTGTGCGGCTCGTGTCAGTCGTCGGCAGGTTAGACACCAGAATGCGCTTCGGGCAAATGTAGGTGCTCACCTAACCGTGCAACGCACCCACAAACACACTTGTAAGGACCAGATGCTCCAACAAATTAATATGCAAGTTTTAAACATACTTTGCGCACTTTTTAAAATTCTACTTGCACCTACATAGCACTGACTGATGCATATAACATGCAGTGCTCAAAGAGCGTCTTGGGATGCTTTATTGATTGTCTAACAAAAATTATTACGTTATGTATTTGTTTACAAAAAATATATATCTCATATTAGAAATAACCAGTAGTTTTCAATAAAGAAATTTCAAGAACTAATAAATTTAAAAACTCAGAATTATAGTTCCGAAAGTTCTGGGTTAAAAAGTTCATTGACAAGCTGCCTCTTTTTACTCTATAACACCTTTACAATAACATAAAATACCAAACATTTGTGTTTAGTATCCCTTTGAGAGCCTGTGATTATAACTGCCATTAATAGGAAAATGGCAAGAACAGAACTGAATTAATCAGCCAAAAAACATTATGACACTTCATAAAAAGATAAATGTTTTTGTGGAAGATACAAGGTATGTGCAGATATGTTAAACAATGCCTGTAAATGGACTTTTGCTTTAAAACCGTTAAATCTGCAAGCATCCCAAGACGTCCTGTGAGCGCTGCACATGGGTTCAGGATCAGGAAAGATAAACACTACTGTACCTCTATGCGACTGGGCTGCAGGACCCACACAGGCTCAGCCTGTAATCTGATGAAGCACTCCCCCAGAGTGACCTCATGCTGCTTCAGGCTCATGATCTTCTCTGCCACTGTCATGACACAGCACAACTCTCACCATCCCGTGCAAATGACTTCACACCTTGCATTTCCATCCACCCAGTGTACCCATACGTCCAAACAGAAATTAAGATTCATACAGTCTTTTCCTTCCATACTCCAGCCAAATGTCATTCATCCAATCAGAATTACTAGTAGGCCCAAATATAGAGGTAAAAGTATTATTTGGTATTTAAGCTACAGCTATAAACATGGTAAACGTGTATTTTAAATTCTATGGCATATTAGTACTTTTCAGATCTACAGTATGATTAAAGGAACATGACTTCTGTGACTGACTTAGAATGGTAAAATAAGCATAATTATTTTCGAATCTGACCTTCCTCTTCTTCAAAGGTTAATAGTGCTGTGCCGCCATCCATTGGGTATAAAATACGGGGCTTGATGTCAAAATTACATGAGACCTCCTCATCACTGACGGCTCCAGTGAAAATGACATTCTTCTCAGGTGCAGCAGTGGGCAACTATAAGAAATTAAATAAGGTCAAGGATGAATCTAATATTGCCCGATCCGCTCTAAAAGTGGGCGTAAACTTACCCGCAGCCTATTTCTTTTTACGAACACCATTACAGGTCACATGACCAGCATGACATTAATAACCCGTCTTATTTACAGTATAATGCGTACTGCAGTGTTTCCCAATCCGGTCCGCGAGGACCCACAGCCAGTCCACGTTTTTGCTCCCTCCCAGCTCCTTACCCGAGAGCAATAATGTGGGCTGTTTGGCAGGGAGCTCAGAGGGAGCAAAAACATGGACCGACTGTGGGTCCCCGAGGACCGGACTGCGGAAACAGTGGTGTACTGAATTTGGAAAAGTAAAAAATGCTCCTTCATCGAAAGATGATAGATTGGATGTTTTTCATGTTGTGTGTTGGAATGCAGCAGAGTTACCAGAATATTGGACTACTTCTGACATTCTCCCCTTTAATAGATATAGCAATGTATGGTGCAGTTATGGCTATCCATTCATATGTGCAGTACAGCTGAGTATCAGTATGGACATACTTGCGTCTCTTGTCGAGCAATGCCAATCATCTCTTCCAAACCATGCAGTGCCTGCATGGCCTTCAGTTCTTCTTCTTCCAGCCTGGACGACTCCTGCTGCAGAAGGAGCAGTCTGCCCTGAAAAGCACAGAAACGGCACACGCGCCATCAAGCTCAGTGGCAACCACGTAGGTCCTGCCCTCTCGCTCTGAAGTGCAACTAGTCACCCATCTCAGTTCTTCATGCTTGCAGCTGCCTGCCTACACTTGCTTTTAAAACATGACTGGGGCGATCGGATCACAAATGGACAATGTTAAGTATGCGTATAACGACCACCAAGATGCATTGTGGTCCGATGACTCAAACCACTTGCTAAAGTGGTCTGGGATGCATTTGGCCACATACATTTTTGTACTGTAAACGCTAAAGCGTCCTGATGCATCCCTGACAAGGACGTGACAATAACTGTGTCGTAGGGCAGTAAGGAAATCTGAACACAAGTGGTCAGGGGGACACCATGGAGATGCAGGAAAGACACAGGTGTAAACAGCGACGTGATCTCGGCAGTCTAATCGTGATTCGTTCCCAAGATGCAATTCAAAACTAAGTATAAACAGCGTCTAAATTTACAAAAAGGAATACATTTTCTCAAAGAATTAACAAGAAATATTATGGCTGAGAACTAAATAGTGGCACCTCCCCGGTACTAAAATTGGTGACTTCGTAAGCATGGAAGTCCTGCTACCCATATAGAACAAGTTGAAATAGCTTTAAGGAAATTCCCGCACCTGGAGAACGTCGCGATGCTTGGCTTGCTCCTGCTCGTCCTCCAGCTGCATCTTCCCTTGACTGATGGCACGCTGGCGAAACTCATCAGCGAAGTGCTTCGAAGCTTCTATGGCCTTAGAAATCTCCTCCTGGTCAGCAATCAGCTGCCTGTGTTTTTCCTGAAAAGTGGTATTTGAAAAAGAGCACAAATGAATTTGCAGATCATATACACTCATTTACTAATTTTTTTGATCACTTTCTTGTAAATTTGGACCAGATACTGTGGAAGCAGACTCAGTAATGCACACAAGTATTTTCATCTCTAAGTACACACACACACACACACACACCTTGTGATTTTCTATCTCCTGTCCGATTTCCTCTAGAGAAGACGGAGATTCCAGGCCAATCTCAGATACTAAAGAATAGTCCTGAAAGACAGTAAGGTAGAATTTAAGTAAACCTTGTAGATTTCACTAAACTGCCATTTAACTACGCCATCTCACAGCTTTAATATGACCAAAGGCATAAACCTCAAAAAAAGAACCTTTACCTCTTCAGATGACATGCTGACATCGGAATGTTATTCTACAGGGAAAGAGTTATTTTCATTTGAGTAAAGACATATAACTATCAAAGTGTTGCCAAGCAAGCCAACTGATAAAATGAAAAAAAAAGCAAACATGGACCCCTAAAGCTTTTCATAATAATGACTTAGCGTCACTGACCATAACCCCAATCAAAGGCACATATCATGTATACACATATAACCTTGTTATAAAATATAGGCAGGTTACGCGTTTCCATTTCCTTAATTTTAAGCTCTAAGAAACGCGTTTCTGTGAACTTCAGTACACTTCCAAAACTTTCGCGAGTATACAGCAATGTGGGTTCACTACCACGCGCTGCCTGCCCTACTGCTAAAGCAGAAGCCGATTTATGCCTAAGTTAACATGTCTATTAAACACCCAAGATTCAGTACATGAACCGAATTTGCAATTAAATCAAAAACAACTAAGTAAAAATACAAGACCAAGTTCGCTTCTTACCGACACCGCAAACAAACAACGCTTTCGTTCTCTGAGCGTTTCGGTTTCGTTTTCATCAAACGCCCCACCTGAGGGGTATCAGGGGCATCCGGAGGGGCGGGTGCTGGCCAGGGCCTGGCTGCTATTACGGTAATACCGTACATGCATTGCTGATGGGGGCAGGGGAGGGTGGAAGGATAAAATTTGCTGACCAGGGCTAAAGTGCGGGGATAAAATGTGGGGTGAGGTTGCAGAGGTGGAACGTCCTTCCGGCTAATTTTACAGCCGCTGAATCGTGGAACGACAGATTTCCGGGACACTGGGCACCGTGCAGCTGTCAGGGAGCTGCTGCCAATCTCCCGGGAGAGGTGGGATGTTTGATCAACTTCATAATTTTTATTTCTTTATTTATTAGTCTGAAAGCGTGTGTCACGCCAGACGCCTGAGCTGGCAACCCTGTCGTGGCATTTACATACATTAAAAACAAGTATCATAAACTTAGAACATTGTAAATGCCCTTATCTTTGTAAATGCCTATCAGTGTTCCAATATAGCTTTGAATGATGAACCAGTAGGTACCTTAACCTCAGCGAACAGTCCAGTTAATTGGCAAATACATGGTATTTTTTTTTTATAAATCACAAGTCTCAAAATTATCTTTAATTTATAGACTTTGTGGAAAACCTACAAATACAAAGAGGCCCAAAGCCTTCGGACAGGATGAAGAATACTTCTGTATGCAATTACAAGGCTAACTGAAGTGTGAGATCAAGACACTCTAAGCAGAGGAAAAGTTTATCCATGAAAAAACTAGTTAGTGTAATTACTTACACTTCATTTGATTTCAATGTAGAATACAAATAAAAATAAGGTGGTACCCTATCTAGATAAGGTTATTCTAAATTTGCCCCAATTTAAAACTTCTCTTTATTTGTATGAGGTGGAATGATCACAATATACAGCTGAAATACAGAGAAAGGGAAAAAAAAGACTTTTTATTTTACACTTTTATTATTGATGCAGAAGCCAAATCAGAATCTGAGCTTCTGGAAGAACCACTTATTCTTGCCCGTCTTGTACCTGTGGAGAGAGAGAAAATGTGTTAAAGATGGGTGACAGATCGCAGAGGCTACATTCAGCTCAGCACAGGGACATGGGTAGGAGCCAGAATAAGTTACACAAAATGCCACCCCTCCCCCCAACGGAAATGTCCATTTCAGCCCGTTTTAACAAACTTATAATTCGGTCATTATTTTTCCAGCCCCAGTCTAAAGGCTCTTTTCCACCATGGGAACTTTTTTCCTGGAACCAGAAACTTCTGTCGCGTTCTCACTGCAGAAACTTGATCCAATTGTAGTTCCTTGGAAGCAGTTCTGGAACCTTTTTTAGTCCCTACCCCTGACTAGGTACTCTGTCAACCACTGGAATAGGGCCTTTGGCTATAAACTTGCTGACTAACCACAAACACTGGCACTAACTTAGAAGTGATGCAGGAGTGTGGGAAAAAGACAAGTATGTAGCAAAAATTGACCAAATTGATTTTTGTATCTTAATTAAATGCATCAATATATACCTTTTTTGCTTGTGTCTCCATATTTCTGCATCGGAAAATTAGACTGAGCAAAATTACGCTCCTGAGCAAAATTACATTTTTTCTTTTTCTAATGAATGAAATCTATTGAGCAAAATGGCGTTATTTTTTCTTCTGATGAATAAAATCTACTGGCCAGATTTAATAATGAATCAAACATGTCACAAGTCATATAAAAAAAGCTCTGTGCCATTTTTCAAAGCAAGTAATCACTAAAACACTTTGTTCATCTTTCACTGCTATTGGGGTATAGTTGTGTATAAAACCAGGTGTGAAGTTAACCCGATGAGCTTTTTACATCTCCCACGGTTATTTAACATGTATAGTTCCTGTTATGTGGTGGGAAAGCCATACGAGAAAGTTGCCAGGCGTTAGGAACCAGTAACTGGATTCTGAAAACTTTGGTAGGAAAGCACCCAACACTAGTACCCCCATCAATTCTTCTTACCTCTCCTCAAATTTGACTTTGGCCTCCCGCCTGGCCTTGCGTTTTAGGGCAGGGTCCCTGAAGACGTCCTTATTGACGACAGTTTTGTCGAAGGGGATATCAACAGAGTACCTACATTTTAGAATGAAGAGCAACAAGTTGTTAGGTTATAGTATGAAGAACATTTGAGAAATTATTGAAGAATGACATCTCATTACCATTATACTGATCTGTCCACTAGCACACAATAAGCTAAATTCCTGGTCATAATTTCTTTTTCAAAACAAATGTTAAACATTTATCACAACAATGTATAAAAAGCTGAAATGAGGCTACACATTACATTTGCTGACTGCGAGCATTTTTCATTGCATTTACAATAATACATGCAAATCACACTTTAAAGAATCAATCCATCGCAAGTCAATAAAGACCCAAGTAACATCACAGAAAGCCTATTAAAGAGATTCACTGGCATCATAATTAAAGACCCTGCAGAACAGATGTTTTAGATCTAAACTGCAAAAGAGTGGCATTTTCCAATGAATAATAGTACTAAATTAATTCTTACACCCATTTGAAATATACAAGAACACTGACCATTCACCTCTAATAGAAAACAATCTTGCCTTTAAGTGGAAAAACAAAAACCACGATACATTTTACCCACTATATGAGAAAATTCAACTATCCTTGAGGAAGTAATGTGTCCACTGCCAGCACATTACAGTAATGTGAAAACAAAAACAGATAACCCAAAGACACACGTGCTAAAACACTGGCTTATAATCACCACCCCATGGTCTCCATTCCATGCACCGACCTGGTGGGCATCAGATGGTTGTAGTTGAACACCTTCACGAAAGCCTTCATCTTGGACCTCTTGGCAACCTTCTTCTTGCTCATCTTCGTGGTCACTTTGCGGGGATAACGGTCAATGCCGGACACCAAGGCATGGCTGTACGGGCGGTCCGCAGTGCCATCATCGATATTCTGCCAGAGAAGGCGAGAGCAATGAAATACCTATTAGCAACAAGAGTGATTCCAGACACAAAACAACACAGGATAGACATTAAGTAGAAGACTGCATGGGAAGGTATTTCCTGCATTTACCTTCACGATGACCGCCTTGCGACCAGCGTAGCGTCCAGCCAACACCATCACCACCTTCCCGGGTTTCATGAACTTGCCCATTTCTGTGCAAACAGATCACTGGTCAAATTCGCCTGGCAGCAACTTAGTGATAAGGATGTCGACTGTAACTATACGCATGGACAGAAAGCAGAGGCTATTAAATGAAGGCTGCAAATACACTTACGACAATGCTAAATACAGGAAGTGGTGTAACTAACAAACTGACGGAGCACTGAGATTAATATATTAAGTTTGTCTATAATATAGCTAGTGAAACACGCGTTCAAATACCCAACTTCACTATCGAGTGTCTCGTTTCTTATTGTTCTGTTGAATGGTTATTTTGAAAAACACCCGCAACAAAATTAGAGTAACTCAGAAGTACATCGATACTTTGGCTATTCAAACAAGGGAAACCAGTATTTTGTTACCAACACCACACGTCCAACCAACTTACATGAGTCAAACAATTTAAATACATCACATGACACGACCATTTGGTTAAATCCTACAGTGTATATGGGAAGGAACATGAGCGGATAATATGAGGATTTTCTTTATCAATTCAGCAAAATTAATAACAATGGACGTCAGCAAATGTTGCTGGATGTGCACGCAACGATGAGAGACCAGAATAAGATCGCTATTTATAGGCATTTTTAACGATGGTGAAAGATTACTTTGCGGGGCAGAATACTCACTAGTAGTGCTCAATGGCTGCCGCTAACAGGAAAGGAAGTAGAAACATTTCGCATGACCTTTCACCCCTATGTAGAGACACAACTTCCGGTTAACCTGACGCTACTTCCTTTTGAAAAACCTTTATTTTAATGTCAGTATAGCCAGCAATTCCCAGGATTTATTTCTATACTATTTTAGCTTAGCTCAACAAAGTGAACAGCTAGATTTTTCTTATTTTTCCATTCTTAAAGATCTCACTTTATCGTTAACCCGATGTACACTTAGTGTAGCGTTTCTTAGACTAATGGCTTAACATGAAGGTAACACTTCTTGTTGCACAAATCATCTCAATCAATTAAAATGCATTAGCAGCGACGGTAGCAACATCCCAGTGGTCGTCGTTATGTCCTGTGAGCCATATGAGGACAGTTATGGCAGGCTAGCCCTGAAGAGACCCAGTGATATGTTGAGCTGTAAATGCAGGTTTGCCAACTTTGGTCAGCTATCTGGAGTGAGATTTTTAATTCGAGACTAGTCTGCACATACATTTACATGTAAGAGTGTGATTACCTTGTAAATGGTTTGTAGGGTATGCAAACTGCCCCAACGCCTTTGATTTAGCTAATTTTATATTTATAATGGAATAATATAGATTTGCGTGAGAGTTTGAATGCATGTCGCGCCAAATGCGTGAGTTGGCAACACTGTAAATGCAACAGTAAAACAATATACACTATAAGGTATTAATAAAAAGATTTGCATTTAACCTTTTGTTATGCACAATTTATCATGTAAGGCATACCCATACAGTACTTTATTTTAGTTTACAGTGTATTTAAGTAGTATTTACTTTTACACAGGCTAAAAGAGTAACAAGATCATTCACAGGTTTATATTTTATACTAAGAAAAAAACGTTCACAGAGCAGGATAGATTTTACAGATTTGGTCATATTTCACTGGTCTGATTACAAAGCTTCATGTGAAATAACTTCTGTAAAAGGGAATGATGCACATATTCTTGGGTAAACAAGATACAACATATGCTGTAAATACCCAAAGCACAGTGTCATAAAATCAAGGACTGTATGCTTCAACACTAGAGATGAAACCTCTATATAGTAGAAAGAGCATTTACTAAAAAAGGTACCTAGTCAAATAGCAATTTTCAGCGAGTTTGACAAAATCAGCTGAGGCAAGCCTTGCATTTTCTTGAATTACTTTTGATGCAACTACTGATCTACATTAGAATAACCAGGAGTGCTATTTAAACATTTTCATCACTTAAACCAATAAGAGTGTTTCAACAGTTGAAAAAGAAAAAAAAATCCTCACTCTGCAGTTCTCAAGGACAAGAACTACCTTAGATTATGCTTTTCAAAGTGGGGTGATGAATAACCAGCTTTGGAAATGTATGCATTTAAATCTTGGTTTTTTTGTTATACAGCATATACCATTGGTACATTCAGATTCACTTACTGATATGTAAATAATGATTCACAAGTCCCAGAAAGACTTTCTTTTAAACTTCAATATGAAAAGAACCAGCGGCAACCCCAAATTAACTTAAATATTGAAATAATATGATTATAGCAACATTCACTTCTTGACCATTCCACAGAATCAGTACAGCCCTGGTTTGCCTGGATTTGACTTTACATCTGCTCAAAGACACACACTGATTATTTAATAAAAGTATATATGCCATGGACCTCGTAAAACGGAAGCTAAAAAACCAACACTTAAAAGCTGACATGCTGAAACTGCTCATTTTCCAGATAGCTTTTATACCAGGGGTCTATAACTCCGGTCCTGGAGAGCTACTATCCAGTAGGTTTTCTATCCTACTTGGCTTCTGATGAGCCACACCTGCTCCTGGTATTTACCTGAGAACAGGTGTGGCTCATCAGAAGCCAGGTAGGATAGAAAACCTACTGGACTGTAGCTCTCCAGGACAGGAGTTGGAGACCCCTGTTTTATACATTCAGAATGCAAGTATGTACAAGTTTGTTTTTTTTTCATCTCCTGAGATTATGCCTACAGATGGAGATCTTGTGGGGTTCTTAAAGCAGTCCCATCATTGCCTACGTACTCCGTGAAATAAACTTGGGTTAAACATCAATAAATTAAAGATACACACATTAGACTAGATCAGGGTTCCCCAAATCCAGCCCTGGAGCGCGAGTCTGCAACACAGTTTGCAAATTTCTGTGCTCAAACACGCCTTATTCAGCTCACCAGCTAATCGCCAGGTTTAGTAGGAGTGCCTGAGCAGGGACATCCGCAAACTGTTGCAGACCGGCCCTCCTGGACTGGGATTGGGGAACCCTGGGCTAGATATACAACAGATTTAGAGGAAATGATATACAGATAGTGGTCTGTTCTCTGCAAGGTCTCACAATGACCTTACATCACAGCGATGTAATGGCATATTCTCACCGCTAAATGTCAGATTTTTTTCAATTTTTGCTCAGCTCAGAGCCACCGTACCTATCTATCTCATCCCAATGGGGACAAAGTGTGGCACATATCGATTCATATGTAAAAAAAAAATAAAATATTAAATGCAGTTATGCTTTTCAGCGCAACTATGGAAGTGTGTCACACATTTCGCTTTAGCACTACATTTTTAAATCGTGGAGAATGGTACATGTTTGGCGAGAGTTCTGCATGGACAATTGGCTTTTCGGCCATAACGTTAACCATGCACCGGTTACCTTGCATGGGACTCACTGAACTTTGGTTGGCAGCATGCAGCGAAATTTATGCAAAACGATGCACTTCAAGGAAACGACTACTGGCATTATAAAGAGCACTGGTTCTTTTGGAATGTTGCAAGAGGGCTGTCTGTAGCCCAGGGATTTTAGAGCTCATTCAGAGCCCTTTGAAATGAGTCTAAAATAAGACACTACACTAGGCCCCTCTACTCCTCCTAAACTGGGAGCCAACCCATAATCAGACACCATTGGAAAATGGGGTTCATTCACCTTTATGCAGCAGGGAAGGGAGTTCATAAAGATTAACATTCCAGTGATGCACTTGCCCTGATTAGAGAAATCAGTCTGAGTTTAAAATGCATCTTTAATGTTTTTGAGCTGTCGGACAGCCAAGTCCACAGGAAGGCTGAATTTCAGGTGGCTGAGGCGGCCCAGGATGCGGAGGGCGCCTTCGAAGCCCGTCTGGATCATGTAGCTCCAGGGCTGGTAGTGCGAATTGACCAACGTGCTGGACTTACAAAGGAGGTTGACCCAGGAGACCAGCCGCTGCTCGTTGAGCGCCACGCACACCAGAGCCTTGAACTCGGAATCGGCGCTCCTCTTATAGGGGTGGTGCTCCTGCAGCACGGAGTGCACAGCCCACAGCAGCGACTGCTTGGGCGTGATGGTCACCGGTCCAGCTCCGACGGGCAAGCTGAACGACTGCGAGAGCTGCCGGGCCGGAGATTCGACAAAAGCTTGGCCGTTTTTGGAATGGTAGTACTTGACAAAGAGCTCCCAGGGGTGCAAATCCTGAGGAGCAGGGCTGAAAGGCAACAAGCAGGCAATGGGGGCCAGCACCAGGCTCATGCCTTGGGACGGGGAGTAGAGGCCGTGGGCGAGTAGGTCACGTAGCGCCAAAGCCAGCTCCTTGCGGACGGTGACTGTCAGCTGGTCGCGGGACCCGCAGGGGGCGCCACTGTTGTAACTGACCACATGTTCTTCGGGGGGCGGCTTGCCGAGAGCTTGCTGCCGCACCCGGTCAACAGCGGCCTCAAGACGCTGCACCAGGGACCCGTAGTCCTGGCCTCCGTCACCCTGGGACCACACCTTCTGGGGAACGTGTCCGGCGGCACACCCGAACTGACTGACGGCGAAGATCTGCAGCACCGCCACAGCACGCTGGATCAGCTGCAGCCCCGTGTCCCGCATCTTCTGGGCCTGCTCGGCGTCCACTGGGAGGAGATGGGGAACAGCAGAGCAGTGAGGACACAGAGCTGAGAACGTCACTGGAATGCCACTGCGATGGCTACCGGAGAAGCGCAATCACATATTCCAGTAAGCTGGCAGACGTGCTGCTTCAACTAGGCTAGAACACAGGCAAGGTGGAGCCAAACTGACCTTTTCTCCTTCCAGCCGTGCCTCGCACGTTAGAACCAGATAAACCGGCTGGTCTGTTCTGATCGTTCTCAGATAGAAGGGGATTTCCAACCTCATCTGAGCAGGAAAATAAGGAAACGAAAGAAGAACGCTCAGCACACAGAAGGACAGGATATCTATTTCTGACTGGAGAGAACTAATGTATCTTTAGCTGTAATTATACAAGATAAAAACTTCATGCATCACTGGTGAAGAAGTAACTCACTATGCTGCAGGAGGCATGGTTGATTCTACATTAAATCCTCCCAGAAAAAAATGACTGGTAACTAGTAACTTGTCATGCGACATGACAAATATCCAGATGTAGGCAGATGGCACCTTGTATGAAATTGATGAACATCTCCAGGTCCCGGATCTGGGTCTTGAGCTGGTCCACCAGTTGCTCTTTGACACGGGCGGGGTTTACAATCTGGGAGATAGCGGCATCCACCCTCTGCCTCAGCTCTTCAGGGCTCAGATTCCCGATGTCCTCATTCAGGTTTACATCAAGCTTCTTGATCAGCTCGTCAATTATCACCTGCAAAGTCAACAGGACGATTTGCAATGGGCTGATTTTTTTCTAGGTTTTCTGTGTGCAAATAAACCCCTATGTTAGTATACAGTTACTCGTGCGTCATTTCATGTATTTGAAATGTTGCGTAATGTTAAATATTGTCCAAACATGAAGAAGAAAAAGAGGAAATAAGCATTTAAAACTATTACTCAGCGTCATATATATATATATATATATATATAAAAACTATTTCATTCTGGGCATAGTCTTCAAAACAAACAGAACAGAGGTATACTGTCAGGAAAAAAGAACCAATTTGTACCTTTGAGGGTACAATTACTTATCACTGGGACTGTACCCTCAAGGGTCTGCCAAGTATACCCTAGCTTGTTTTAAGCTGCACCTTTTAAGGTACAGAAATGGACTATGAGGAACATTTTTGAACCATTGGGGTACATTAATGTTGTTTGTACCTTGGGGTACAAAACTGCAGCATTGCTATACCCTTTTTCTGACGGCGTCAGGTCCTCAGGATGTGGGCGCCTACCTTCTGCCTCTCCATGACCACCGACTGGGGCAGGGAGTCGTAGCTGCCCTCCTGGTAGGCAAACCTCTCCAGGTCGTCCAGCTGAGTCTTCAGCTGGATGATGAGCTCCTTCTGCTTCTTCCTCTGGGCCTCCAGACGCTCCCTCTTCTCCCTCTCACTCTGAATAAGGCAAGAACACAGAGTGAGCGTGCAGTTAGGCTCAGGGCCGGAGCACCCTACTGGCGAATCAGGGGTGCGGTAAAGAACGCCAAAATGAAGAACAGGAAAAATGAAAACAACACACTGGTATTTTATTATTGCAGCTAGTTAGTTTGATTCTTTTAAATTAAAGGAACCTAACAGTAATACTTTACTTGAAGCACTCATGTAAATGCATTATAGATACCTTCGTAATACATTAAAATGCATTTATAAAGTATTATAGACACAACTATAATTATTAATTCAAAGGCATAGCACATTATATTCACGTCTATTATGCATTATGGATGCTCTAAGAAGCTCTCTTCTATAATGCACTATAAATACCTTCATAATGCATTATAATGGTTTATACTGACCATTGTAATGCATTATGAAGGTATCAGGAGCCAGATACCCTGTGCTACTGAAATGCTTTTAGTACAAGTGAGCTAACAAAATTTGTTTTCTGCTGCTCTGCATTGTGAAGTTCATTATTACAGCATGCAGTGCATAATATAGAAGTCGATGTATATGGGGAAATGCATAGAGCATAAATACAAAATAGTTTTTAAGCACTATCAAAGAACACCTCCTTTTCAACAGTTATAGCCATCAGTTTTCACCTTAATATTTTTCTTTGCTAGCTCCAGGTCAGGATAATCACTCCGTTTTTAATTTACATCAGACTTTAATTTTGAATGCACCTGAGAAATCTCAAAGTGTGTCGAGGACCATCTGATTTTTGATGAGAACCATATCATTTTCAAAACGTTACATTTACATTCCAGTGTATACTACATTGCCAAGCCGAGTTTTACGTGCTTCACTGCTTTGATGTTTGTATTCGTATGTTTTATTTTATTTATGTAATAGATTTTGCCTTATTTGTTGTACTTCATAACTTTTTGTTTGTATTATGTTGGTGTTTTGAATACACGATGACGTGTGTTGTATAGGGGGAATATGTGTGGGTTTATTTATTTATGTTGTTGTGTTTATAGGCAGGATGGGGGGGGGGGGGGGGGTTGGCTCAGGTAGAATCTCGCCTAGAGCACCAGGACACCCAGGGCCGGTTCTGGTTAGGCTAACCGGCATCTCTAAATCGCTCAGAGCCTATGAGCTTATGTGCCCTGTGATGGACTGGCATCCCATCCAGGGTGTCCCTGCCCTGTGCCCTGTGATGGACTGGCATCCCATCCAGGGTGTCCCTGCCCTGTGCCCTGTGATGGACTGGCATCCCATTCAGGGTGTCCCCTGCCCTGTGCCCTGTGATGGACTGGCATCCCATCCAGGGTGTCCCTCAGCCCTGTGCCCTGTGATGGACTGGCATCCCATCCAGGGTGTCCCGCAGCCCCGTGCCCTGTGATGGACTGGCATCCCATCCAGGGTGTCCCTGCCCTGTGCCCTGTGATGGACTGGCATCCCATCCAGGGTGCACCCCTAGCCGTATACTCTGGGCTGCTGGGATGGGTTCCAGGGCCATGTGAAAATTGATGAATGAAAGCCTGAATCACGAACCGGGATTTCTTGCTTGGCCCGGTAACTTGTCAGATTTAAGGCACCCCAGATTAAATAGACTTTGTTTTTGTTCACTTACGTTTGGCGTTAAATCCGACAAGTCACCTGCTTCATGATACAGGCCCCGGGTAATGAAATAAATAAATAAGGGAACTTCCCGCTGTTTAAAGCAAACTGAAAGCTAATATAAACTTAACACTGTCTAGATAAAACGAACAAAGTGAATCTTCAAGCACAGTCATACTCACCAGGCCCTCCTTACAATGTTTGCACATGAGGAAGAAACAACAATTTAATTACAGCAGAATTCCCAACATATTTAACAGAGATGGAGATAAAGAGGGAAACAGGACAAAGCACCTTACCACAGGCAAAAAAGGCACACCCACTATCCAAATAACTCTTGTGAAATATTTGATGCCAGTATAATTTGACTGGGCTACAATTCATAACCGTACATTACATTTATTGGCTCCCTCCTGAGTTAATGTTTCTTCCAGTGCAATAAGAGGTTATTTAAATAATACAGTTATCGGTTACATTTAAAAGTTCAGAATTTGCTCCTGTGTTATTTGGTAATGTGAGGAACATTTATTTCTGAGTACCTTGCAGCGCAGTAATTTTAGGGAGCAGTGAATTGCACGGTGCTGCAGTGATGTACAGTGCCGAGGCTCACCGCGTTCTCCAGCAGCTGGGCGTCCCGCGCGCCGCAGCCCAGGACGTGGGGGCAGCCCCTGAAGGCGAACTCCTCCAGCTCCAGCAGCATCTTCTCCTTCTCCTCGCTCTGCGCGTGCACGATCTGCTTCAGCCTGAACTGCACCTGGGCGAAATGCGACGTGAGCGCCAGCAGCGACGAGTTCAGCTGATCCTGCTCTTCCTCCAGCTTCCGCAGCCTCGTCGCCATCTCCGCGACGCCCGTGGATGCGGAGCCTTTCCGGGCCGGCTCCGGCCCCGGCTCCCGTTCCCCCGGGTCCTCGTCTTCGGGGCTGGCTACGGCTCCCACCGGCGCCCACCGCTCGCCGGCACCGGCCAGTGCCGCTTCGCTGTCTGAGGCTGATAGCTCTTCTGTCGACATGCTGCGTCAAACGAAGCCGGCAGTATTATGAGTATAAACAAACGATATAAGTGTTCCCGTTTAAGCAGCACTCTTGGTTAATTTAGGTAAGCCTACTTGGACAATGCTTTTAAATATAAATATATGTACTACCACTATTGAGGAGCACTACGCCATCTTGGAGGAAGTGTGACGATGAATAAAGGTTGTCAGTGACGTCATGCTTAAACAAACGCCGCGTGCCCCCTGCCAAGGCCCACATGGCGCACACCGTGCTGTTTTTTTTATTATTATTTATTTTAAGGCGAACGTCCAAAGCACAGGCGTGCCGTGTGCTAAGCTGTTCTTAAATCCAAATCTTTTTCACTACACTGCCGCGCATGCTCTAGCACACAGCACAACACACAGCTATAATTCAGTGGCACCCCATCCTTGGTTGTTCCCTGCCCTTCACCCATAGGCTCTAGAACCCCACTGAGATAAGTTCACCGTTAGAACATATATATCTCACGAGAGCAGACTTTTACCGAAGAAAAAAAAATGTGTGCGGTGTGTCTTTAGTAATCAGAGGGATCAAAAAGAAGAGACTCTCCTTTACTTTGTTTATAAAAGTATGTCAGATTCTCCTAAACTACCAATTCGTTATATTGACAAGTATTTATAAATGAGCACAACACAGATACACCTAGATTAATATTCAATATGCTGGCATTATTTCAGTGTTCATTGTTTTATTGGATGATTTATTTATATTTTGAATTGAGATTGAAATTGGTACAACAAAACCTAGGGTCATCAACACAGATGAATGTGTCTCATGCTTAGCTTTTTCATAAAAAGTATATTAGTAAAGTAATTGTGTACATTGTCCAAGAATTTTATTTTCATATGAAACAACAGTGGCAATAAAAACAGTAATCACAATCATTTTACTTTAAAAATGTAAATTACTAGTTAACAAATTTAGTGACATCAACAAACATGACACAGCCGCAAATTTTGTCAGTAGTCTTACATCTGTTATTTTAAATTTGATTCTTGTTTTACTTTTCTGTTAAATATAAAGGCACATTCTGTTATTTAATACAAAGTGAAAACTATACAAGTTTTAGAAACTTGCATACAGCTTGAGTTGCATGTGAGCAGTGTCACCACATTTATCTGGCATCAGCATAACATAATGGATTCAGATCATTTACTCATGAGATTATTACTATGCTCTAAATTTTGATTTGCCTGCCACATGGAATGAACCTGGAGGAAAGTAAGATTACCCTTAAAATCAACTATATCTTTACCCTAGCACATTCGGCAACTTTAGAGACACAGCAGGTTTCATGTGATCATCAAATCAGTTGCTTAATAAGTAGCTGTCAATAATACACTATGAAACCATACACAAAAAAAAACAAAAATCAAACCCTTTTGAGTATTTACCATGCCCCAATCAAACAATAAGAATTCTGTTTCAGGTATTTAAGACGTGTAGCAGATTCATCAGTGTGTGACAGACTGATCAGTGCAAGCAAAAAATCTCAACACAGCATCACAAATGGACGAAAGCTTTTCGCTTTGTGATGAATCCATCCCAGCTGTCCCATCTGAGGCCTGCCTTCTTGGTGCAGGATCCACCGACAGGATCACAAGTGTAGCCACTTGGACAACAGTGCTGCATATCACTACAGCATACAGCCTGAGAAACAATGAAAGTGCAGGTAAGGAACAGAGATATTGTCAGCCGTCAACCGATTGTAAAAGATATCCTTAACTGGAAAGATATCTTTTGGTATAAAGCTACCTTTAAACTAAGGCTGTCATTTGGGCTGAACATTGATGTGAATATATCTAAGTATGTCTACAATCACATTGTTATCCATCCATTTTCTGTACCCACTTGTTATATTCAGTGCTGCAGGGGGTCTGGAACCTATGGGTAAAAGGTAGGGAACGACCCCGGATGGGGTAGGGCACGACCCTGGATGGGGTAGGGCACACTGACACCTGCTGGCAATTTGGAAACTCTAATTCACCTTGAGATGTTTTTGGACTGGGGGGGTGGACTCCACACATAGACCTGTAGTGGGGGGGCTCAAACACTGGTCCCTGAGAGGTAAGATAACAGTGCAAACCACTGTGCCAGCCTATCATACCATGTTTTTACTGTTTATAAAAAGCTTTATAATGCAACTCTTCTTTATATCAGGAGTAGAATGAAAAACAAATTTATTCGTGCAATTATATGCAAGGTTTCTACTCTGAAATATTCCCGAAGGCCTATATCACATGAATCCATTATTTTATCTGTAATTTGTCGTTTAGCTTCTAATGTCATGGTGGCAATGTGAAAGGGTAAATGCTGCTTTTTCAAGAGTCCGGGGAGAGAAATGAATGAAGATACTTTCACCGCAAGCTGTGATAAAGCTGTACACACCTTAGCCATTGGGCAGTAGCGTAGCTGCCCCGACGGGAGCTGATAGCAGGGGGTGCCCGAAGCACAGCCGTCCTTCATATTACACTCCACAGGAGTGTGTAGTACTTGATCGACCTGGGCTTCCATTTTACTGTACCAGGGAATAACCAAGGTATCATGGGAGCAAGTGGTCCGTTCCACGTTGCACTTGTATCCCGAAGGACAGCAATGCTCCCCATCCTCACAGCACACAGCCTAGGAGAGATGCAGTCCATTACCAGTATACCCCTACACTTTGATGAGCAGTAACTTAACGTAAAAAGAACCTAAATGGATTTACTAACGCGATGTACCTTTGGCAAAGGGCAGCAGCCCCATTTGCTGGTTTTATTCATGTAACAGCAAGTTGTATCCTTGGGGCAGCTGCTGTATGGGCCACATTTATGGCGGAAAGACTCAGAGGAGCCGGAGACAAGATCTGTGGGCATCTCCTTCAAGGCAGGTTTCTTCTGCTGCCAAGGAGAGCTGGGGCTGCCTGATTTTCTGCAAGTTTGCACAAGCATGTCGCAAACGTAGCCCTTGGGACAGCAGTGCTGTTGATCCTCACAGCATATTGCCTAAAAGGAGATGGGAGAATGCATTGGGAAGCCATGTTCAGACAGAGGCAGACACTATAGACTACCTAAAAAGATTGAGAAAGTCATGGACAAAATGCATTAAAGACACACATGCTACAGAAAAAAATAAAAGGACGTCCTCAGTCACAAAGAATAATCTTTACCTCTGGCATGGGGCAACAACCCCACTTTCCTGTAGTTGTCTTGCAGCAGGTTGTATCGTCGGGACAGGCAGAGGTGTCATCACAAGGAACATTTTGTCCTTTAGCAGACTGCCTGTTTATGGGGGGCAACTTCTCCAACCAGGGTATGGAGCTCGTAGAGTTATCACAGCTGGTGCCAGCTGGGTTGCACTTGGTACCATGAGGGCAGCAATGGACGTGGTCATCACAGCACACGGCCTACGAGAGGGACCAAGAGAATACTTCAATGTCATGTCAAGACCGTCAATGATTCCCAAACTTGACATGACGTCAATGTTTCGCAATATATTACATACGATG